ATTCCACTTGTCATGTTGTCAACAACATTTGTGAAGATATTATCAATCAATGTTGCACCGTGTGCAGTTAGCACAATTTAAATGAACTATTGCCATGCTTCCTGATTTGCCAAATAGTGACATTTGATTGTCTTGATAAGACAAACAGTTACGCCTATTATTATGAAAAAAATGCATGTCGGGTCCACATCGCTTTTCTGGTTAGTTTTATTATCTTTGAGTGAAAATAGTTCAAGTTCAGTCTCCTGAGTGAAGCTTAAAGGCGCTATACCCGTTTCTGCAATGTTTGAATGTTTAGCACCGCCCCCCAACTCGCTCACAGGCTTCTCATTTCCCCTACGCTCTCATAACACAGAGCCATCTAGTTTTATTTGCGATCTGATACATATGCTAACATTAGCATTTGCACAAGTTCTTGTAAGCTGTGCAACAATCACCGATGAAATGGCACTAAAGTAAAAGAATACCGCTAGTTTCGTGTCCGAATGTATTCATTTAAACATTAGAATATATTCTAATATTTAATTATAATTTATTATACAGCTCACAGCAGCAGTAGAACCCTCCATTGACGTGAATGTAATTCTTCCGATCATTTTTTCTTGATAACAGAACTCTCAAATCAATAATGACCGCAGCCCCAATGCAATCTCTGTTTGTAATTCAGGAGTGTAAAATACTAACATTACTCTGCAAGTACAAGCTATCAGCGCCTGTCACTACACTGTGCAGTTTATCTGCACAGTTGTAGCCACGCTCAATAAACAAATACATATCAATCAATCAACACCATTAAACGATAATCAGACAATACAGTACACATATACATCCTTAACACACATGCACGGACAATTTCAGAATTTGCTGTCAACGTTTTCATGACAAAAATACTGTTTTAACGTGACAAAAAGCGATCGCGAAAAACCCGGAAGTTACCATGAAACAGCTAGCTAGCTTAGCTGTTACCATCTTTCCAAATCACCCTCCAGTTGAAGTGGCGTTTCTCGTCTTCGGCTTCGTCCTTGATCCACAGTAAAGAGAGGCTCATGCGAGTACGTCTCCAGCGTGAACAGTGAACGTTTACAGCTCGCATTAGCTAGGGGGTAATCCAGCTAGTTTGCTCGTTGACTCACCGCGATATGCGCCAACGATGTCCGTAAAAGTAGCAAGAGTCTATTAATATAGCCGTTATCGCTCTTAAGTTTGTTTAAACAAGCAATAGATGCAATCCAGAGTCCACAAACTGTATGAAAGCTTGTACTGTGCAGCAGCTAATAATAAATATATTACTAGTTACTACCAATTTTGTTATCACAGTGACAATTTCAAAATGCTCTTTTTAAACTTTATAGTACCACACATCTTTATTCTTCCTAAAATCAGAATCTAGATTTGATGTGATACTGGAATAGTATTGATTAAAGCTGGGGGGCCTAACCTTCAAACAGCCACATGAGTTTCTCACTCTCAAAACGTTTAGTTCTGTCACTTCTCACAATATTCTTTGGCTGTCACATCTCTAGAGTACAGCAATATCTGAAATCATCATGAGCATGTGTCGAGTCTTCGTATTCACCACATCTGCCCCACCGGACAATGTGCGTATCACAAATGTGAATATTGTCATATACCATGAAGACGGGTAGATAATCACTGACATCATTAACTAACATACCACAAATTATGTTTTTCTCCAAAATGTTACTAAATGTATGTAATCAAAGTTACACTTAAATTAAATTCTAGATCTGGTTGGATACTCATTCTTTCATTCTGGGCCACTTCACCAAGATTCTTGAGAGCATTGAAAAACCCATTTTATTTGGATATTCTCTCCTCCTGTACATACATGTGTTTTGAGGCTGGAGTGCTGCTCTCTCCTCCTGTATGGGACAGTACATGTGTTTTGAGGCTGGAGTGCTGCTCTCTCCTCCTGTATGGGACAGTACATGTGTTTTGAGGCTGGATGAGTTGTGCTGAAGCCTCATCTGTGGGACAATAGCTACTTGTTTCACCCTTACTGGCTCTGGTCAGCTGGGCCTGTGCTGTGTTGGGACAGTCAAGCATTCACACTATTCACAGGAACTATTTGCAGCGTGGCATGTCACTATGGGTCCAAGTCCGGCACTGTTTTGTAACCAGAGCCAGACCCTAGGGCACATTCTGACACATCACGCCATGGCCGGTTTAGACGGGGAACCTGGCTGGATTTGTGTATTGTGGATTTGGATGTTCAGTTTTTTAGACCAAAAAAAAGTTTTGATCTACGTAAAGAGAATACAACTCTCTAGGTAGGCTGTTAAGATGCTTCTATTTATTAGTATTGGTTATTTGCAACATTGCTTCCTCATCGGAAACAGACCTGGATTTGTTTGTGACTTTGTCCACGCTAATAATAATAATAATAATGCATCGGTTTTATATAGCGCTTTTTTGGACACTCTAAGTCTCTTCACATGTCATTATCCTCTCTCTCCAAACACGGTGGTGATAAACTACTACTGTACCCACAGCTGCCCTGGGGCAGACTGACAGAAGCGAGGCAATCAGTCTGTGCCATCGGCCCCTCCCACCACCACCAACCATTCACACACACACCAGACTCATTCTACACAATACAATACAATTTATTCTTGTATAGCCCTAGGTCACAACAGAAGTCATCTCAGAGACTTAACAAAACCATTGAAATCACCGACACAGGTCAGAGAATCAACAGTTAAAACACATGAAGAATATAAAGCACACACAGAAGAAAATGTCCATACATGTTGTAGAATGCTAAAGTGTCCTGATCATCACCAATCCTTTCTGTTGGACACTAACTGTCCAACAAGACCCTCCTGCATCCACAAGGAAAAACTCTTAAAAAACCCAGTGGGAAAAAGTGAGAAACCTTGGAGGAGAACTAGGGAAACCCACAGGGAGGGAGACCCATTTGAGAAAGGGATCCGCTCCTCCGGACGGACAGACTAATGATCTAGGACCTAAGCTAGCTACAGAACGTGGACCAGTGGACGCTGAACGTGGACAGGTCCGGTGCAGGACTGAAGCACTCCCAGGCGGGTCGGGCGGGGCTTCTAGGATTCTAGGATTCTAGGCAATGGGGGTGAAGTGTCTTGCCTAAGGACACAACAGCAGTTTGGCACTTTACAGCCGCAGCCGCCCCACTGTGGCTGGTGTTCCCAGAGGTTAAGTGTCTTGCCCAAGGACACAGCGACAGTAGTCAGTGGGAGTCGCTGGTGAAAGTCTTGAGTGGGGCTTGAACCCACGACCTTCTGGCTCAAAGGCCAACGCTCTACCAACTGAGCTACTGCCGCTAAGGGGGGGGGGTCTGACAGGATCAGGCGCCATAATACACATAGAGGCATACCAAATTGGTCAAGCTGATCCTAATTAGTTCAACCAATATTTAACCAATTAATTTTCAAAAAATGTCAAATATTCTGAATTATTTATACAAATTCTCTGTTATTATTATTATCCATCCATCCATTTTCTTCCACTTCATCCGTTGCCGGGTCACGGGGGCAGCACGCTGCACCGATCCGCCTGTCAATCTCACGCTCCATTCTTCCCTCACTCGTGAACAAGACCCAGAGATACTTGAACTCCTCCACTTGAGGAAGGACCTCTCCACCCACCTGCAGAGGGCAGGGCACCTTTTTCCGGTCAAGCACCATGGCCTCAGATTTGGAGGTGCTGATTCTCATCCCAGCCGCTTCACACTCGGCTGCAAACCGTCCCAGTGCATGTTGCAGGTCCTGGTTCGTTGGAGCCAACAGGACGACATCGTCCATTATTATTATTATTGTTGTGTGTGTTGTATTATTATTAAGCAAATAATTGCAAGACTCCTTGCAGCAAACATCTGTCGTGAATCACAGCTTAAAGTATAAAAACACAAAAAGGACCTATTCAATTGATTAAACCGATTGGTTGGATTGACCAATATATTGGTCAGAAATTACCAAATTGAATCATTGCTGCTATCCCAAAATAGTGCACCATTCACCTACACAAGTCACATGTTTTTCTATTGTGGTTCTCAGAAGTTTAGCAGGACAGGCAACACCAGGTAAAACTGTTGTTTTGTTCTTGGGCAAGACACTTAACCCATTTATTTTTGAAATTCACGGGAATATATACTTACTTTTTATGGTTAAAAAAAGGAAAAGAAAACATTGTGTATTCTAAAAGTGAAGATATTTTTTTCTGGTTGTTTAATTGCAGCTATTGAAGCACTTTGACTTGTTTTACAAAAATGAACAACAAATTTTCAAATAATTACAGAACATGTTTTATTTATTTAAACATTTATTGAGGTTTTGGTTTTAAATATTTTGAAATGTACTTTTTTAAGTGTTGTAAATAAACATTAATTTACAATAAATATAAATAACACAAAAATAATAATTAAAAGAATAAATAAAAGTATCTCAAGTATTCAGCATTTTAGGTCTTGTATTCAGTATTCTGGAACGGAATTCATTTTCTACCCAACACTGATTATTGTGAAAGAAGACAATTTGTGTGTAATCATCTCAATATTTATCAATAGTCTTTGTAAAACTGCTTTTTCAATATCAATTAATGCTCAATGTATTATCTAATTTATTATACTAGTTTTATCTTTTTCTGATCACACAAAGGCCAGACAGACATGACCTATCACTATAGAAAATGCTTCTTTATACTGCTGTTTCCAACACAAGCCGGGCCACACTTGCAGGAGCACTTGCTGTGGGACAGGGCGTGGTGCGTGCTGGTATGGGTTCTAGTTACACATGGACAGCTGCAGGCCCTCAGTCACAGGATCTGCTGACCTCCATTCCACCAGCGCCTTCGTGAGCTGCTCATGCTGACCCCAACAGGAACGGAAAGGATCAGGCCAGGAGCCACGCATTCCTCTGGGGTCTGGGACCACAACTGCTCTCTAGAGCCACTATCAGGCAGGACATGGTACTACGGTGCGGTCTCAGGACCTCTGCAATAGGTGTATGAAGGACTACTTCATACATCAGAGCCACATGTCCTCTGGAGCCTGTCCTCAAGAGCTGTCCTCAAGAGCTGTCCTCTGGAGCTGTCCTCTGGAGCTGTCCTCTGGAGCCTGTCCTCAAGAGCTGTCCTCAAGAGCTGTCCTCTGGAGCTGTCCTCTGGAGCCAGTCCTCTGGAACTGTCCTCAAGAGCTGTCCTCTGGAACTGTCCTCTGGAGCTGTCCTCTGGAGCCTGTCCTCTGGAGCTGTCCTCAAGAGCTGTCCTCTGTAACTGTCCTCTGGAACTGTCCTCAAGAGCTGTCCTCTGGAACTGTCCTCTGGAGCTGTCCTCTGGAGCCTGTCCTCTGGAGCTGTCCTCAGGAGCTGTCCTCTGGAGCCAGTCATCTGGAACTGTCCACTGGAGCTGTCCTCTGGAGCTATCCTCTGGAGTCTTGTCTGGAAGCTCTGATTGTGTACTTTTCATCTCTCACACTCAGAGCAAAATGCTCTCTTTAAAAAAAAAACCACTGCCTAAATATGTTGTATAGAGTACTATTTTTGGCGACAGTAGCTCAGTTGGTAGAGCATTGGCCTTCAGGCCTGAAGGTCGTGGGTTCAATTCCCACCTCTACACCTTCTCCACCGACTCCCACTGATGACTGCTGTCGTTGTGTCCTTGGGCAAGACACTTAACCCCACTTTGCCCAAAGCCCCCACTGAAAGATCAAGGCTATGCTCACAGTCAGAGAGCAGCCGTCCTCCTGTGGACTCACCACCTGCAGAGGGTCAGTGAGGGGCTGGTGCTATGAGACTTGGGTGGCATCTCTGACTGTCACCCCCCTGACCCAGAAACGGATTAAAGGGTAGAAAATGGATGGATGGATGGAGAGTACTATTTTTTGAGAGAAATAACACCAACAACCATTCTAGGTAAAGAACCCTGATCCTTAAGTTGAGTCTTAGAGCAGAGGTGTCCAAAACCACAGCCACAGCGGCCTTTTCTGGACCGGTTTGGACACCTCTGTCTTAGAGAAAAGAGCAGCAGAGCCTTGTTATAGAGCTCGGAGCTATGGGTGATGGATGGCCCTCGTGGCTTCCCGGTGCAGGCTGCTGGAGCAGGAAGAGCTGTCAGAGACCGGGTAAGCCTGAGGAAACCGCTTCTGACGTAATTTGGACCAGAAGGAAGTCCGTGGTAAACGCACGCTCCCTCCATCAGGGCAGTTACATGACGGCAGGAAAGCTGGACAAATTCCACACATAAACAGGTTGTTGAAAATACAGGTAATTTGAGCATGTTGCAAATGGCCTTTCCCAAATCATGTAAAATGTTCTGCTCTGGAGCGTCCAGTCAGTGCCCAGGGTAAGAACATTAGTGCTGTATGTGGATGTGTGCTCTCTGTGTCAGCTCAGAGGTCTAATACGTTAAAGTAAAAGTTAACACTGAAGGGAACAGTGAACCACTTCTTATATAAAGTGAGTTTTTGTAATGGAAGAGAGTATTATTTCAGAAACCATTCAACAAAATATCTACTGTACATTATTTACAAGAGAGAGAGAGAGAGCAGTACTGTTTCAAGATATTTATCATATTTTTTTCTTTTACTGTAACTTTTGCATGATTTCTGCATTTTTGGAAAATATATACACTATTACATAATATACAAAGGAGCAGAGGACATGCACAGGCCTGAATATGTTAAAAGCTAAAATAAGACTGAATCCTCACTGAACAGTGCACCTGTTGCTGTCTGTCTGTGTGTGTGTGTGTGGGTGTGTGTCTGTGTGTGTCTGTGTGTGTGCGTGCGTGTGTGTGTCTGTGTGTGTGTGTGTCTGTGTGTGTTTAAAATATTAAACTCATGGAGCGGATGACCTACACTTTGCGACTTGAGGAAGAACTGGGAAAGAGGCGCTGGGCAAAGTGGCTGGACTTTATAAATAGTGACAGTACAGAGACGGTACAACAAATGTGAATTGTAGACTCAATGTTTGTATTTTTGTATTATATTGCGAGCCATCCCCCAACCTCTAATGTTTGTGTTTAAAAATTGCAAAAATAAAAAAGTTTCACTGCGGAAACAAATAAAGGAATTCTTATCTTGTGAAAAAAATAAATAATAATAATAATAATAATACTACAATTACTGATCTTAACTTAATCTCTGAATGCTTTAATGAATATTTCTCCTCCATATTACTTACTTACTTACTTACATAAGTAGTACAAAGTACTCTGGTCATCCATACTTACCTAATCCACTAAATGACGTCGTTCCTGAGACATCATTTTCTTTTCATCAGATTTCACATTTGGATGTAATACGAGCTATAAACTAAACAAGCTTAAAGCTAACAGTGCGGCTGGTCCAGACGGCTTAGAAGTAAAATACCTTTTATTGGGATCCAGTGTGGTTATGTATCCACTAACCGACCTGTTTAACCTGTCACTAAGTACGTGCTCTGTCCCTCTCATCTGGAAAACTGCAAGGTTCACTCCCATCTTTAAAAGGTGGAGACCACTCCGATGTAAGTCACTACTGGCCCATCTTTATTATATGCACTATCACTAAAATAATGTAAAAGATCATTTTGAAATTCTGTCCATAAATACAGTGAACAGAACCGGTGACAAAAGGGCAGCCCTGGCGGAGGCCAACATTCACCGGGAACAGGTTGTCCCAGGAAAACATGTTGTCCCTTCCTTTTCCCTTCTTTAGATAACAACCAGTACACAGGTGGCATTTTTCTTGATCTCTCCAAGGCTTTTGATCTGGTAGACCACTATTTACTTTTGGACAAACTTTACTCAGTAGGTCTCAGTAGACAGGCTCTGGATTCAAAGCTTATCTTCACAATAGACGACAGTTTGTAGTTTTTAATGGTTTTCAGACTGGTCTCTCTAGCATGGAAAAAGAGTACCACAGGGCTCAACCCTTGGACCTCTTTTATTTTCTGTCTTCATCAATGACCTACCCCAAGTGTGCAGTCATTGCCAGACTCATCTATATGCTGATGTCTGTCAGGTGCAAACTTACCACAACTGCATCTACAAGAGGACTTTTAGTAAATTCAAAAGTGGCTCAACAAAGATGCTAAAACTAAACATGAAAAAATCTGCTCTTTGAATAAGAGGAAAACAACGGAAATAGAAAAAGATATGTATAAATAAGAAAATAATAAAGAAATATAAAAAACAAAACAAAACACAGTATAAAATTAATAAAATAATCATATAGAAAAACACAAGGGGTTAGCGGTACTGAGGCTTCACGCCTCACGCCTTCACGCTTCAAGGCTTCACGCCTTGTTTTGACTAAATTTACAGTACCACACACTTCTAATGAATCCGCCTCGACATCTTCTCCACCGACTCCCACTGATGTCTGAAGACACTTAACCAACCCAAAGCCCCTGAAAGATCAAGGCTATGCTCACACTTACAGAGCAGCCATCCTACCTGATTGCCACCCCCCGACCTAGAATGGATAAGGGGTAGAAAATGGATGGATGATCTATTAGTTTACAGTCAACGCTATGAACTATTAGCCTGACTCTTGCCAGACCCTTGTAGTTCAAGGGTCTGGCTCTCCTTCAAAGCGGATGAAAAAAAACACAAACATAGGCAATGTTTGTCTGTGTGCGTTTCTGTTTGTGTTTTCTGGAATTAACCAACTTGTCAATTGGTAGATAATGGGTCATATATTGTTTGCAATGTGATTGGGCCTCAGTGCCTTTTGGATGTCTTTGTGAAATGTCGACTATCACAGAGAATCTAAACAGGAAATCTCCACTCAGCCTGAAGGTACATGTTTGTTTTTGACAGGGAAATGGAAACGCCCAGAAGGACCCTTCCTGGATAGTGAACTAGTCCATTTGGCTGTTTGACAAAGTTCTCCCTATATTCTGACTATAGCATAGATATCTGGAAGCCTACATCTACAAGTCAAGTTAAAGGAGAAATATGTTTCTTTTTTGAATGTTCTTATATAGATTACAAAATGTGTACATAAACTTGTTGTTGTCAAATGTATTGAGTATTCAGTATAATCAATTGTCAACAGTGTTTGTAATAGCACATTTTGACGAATAGTTGTTTTAGCTCCATTCACGCTAATAGGAACCTTTGACCTCTTATCCCATCATTCACAGACAAATCCTCAAACTATGATACAATGGAGTCTGAAAGTCTACTTTCAGCAGCAAATAGAATTTTGTTTCTAGCTTGTTTTGTTCTTCTGTAATGCCCAGTCGAATAGAAGAAAGTTTGAAAGAAATCACCAGTCTCAGACAAAAAGCTGAAAATTAGGTGTTTGTGAAAACACACACAAGTTGCAAGTGATTTTAATACTATTTATGTGCTGTTTACAAGAGGACGCTGCAACAGTAAAACGTTAGAGTTGGGTATCGAATTGGCCTTTTGTTTACATGAAAACGGGGTTTCATGGGGGTGAAGCTGCAGTTTCAGTTTCCATTTTTGCTGCTAATGTTAAATGCAGAATGAAGTTGGTGCATGCTTTGCCGTTTTGTGTACATCTCCGCAGCGTCTCTGTCCAAACGGGGCCTGCTCCTCTCTGTATTCCACCATGCCTCACACGGACTGTAAATATTAACGGACGTAGTGACGCCTATCTCTGAGATAGATGGCACGAACCCCATTAATTTAACGAGTGCATTCCATAATCCACAGCAGCTAAACTAGGCTGTTCCACAAAAAAATACCCCCTTCAGCATTGACAAGCATCTAGAACCAAGAGCTGACTTTTGGACCAGGCTGTAAAGTTGTTTTGAGAGGAAAACAGTGGATAATTCTGTTTCCTGGTATGCAACCACCGGCAAGGAGTCAGAATACAATGCCAGCGCATTATGTCAGCGCACGTGGTCATTGACCCTTTTGAGCCGCTGTTCTGTCGAGTTTGTCTGCCCGTCGAGATGAGCTCCCTCAGCTGTTTATGATGTAATGCAAACCTGCGCACGCGCTTCTCATGGCAGCCAAAGCAAACCGAGATGGCGGACATAAAGTCTGTGAGTTGTGTAAAAAGTTTAAATACGAACGAATAAAGACACAAATGTCACTTTTAATGCAATTTGAGGCGAGATGTTGATGGTTCCATGTTGTTACAGTATATGTGTGTTTTAAGAATAAAAGTTTTGTGTAAAGCTTGGTTTAAGTAGTCGACTGCTCCTGTGAAAGCACACTGCTGCTGTGTGGTAGCAGTAACTTTCCTGTCGAGTTGAGCTGCTCCTGTGGCTAACTGGACAGCTAACAGCCCAGTGGACAACCCGACTGGCCTGCTGGGTTGATAATGGAAATAATAACCAAATTCTAAGTTTGAAGCTATCAGCTGTCGAGTTAGCCACAGGAGCAGCTCAACTCGACAGAAAAGGTACTGCTATCACACAGCAGCAGAGTGCTTTCACAGGAGCAGTTGACTATATTCGTTCGTATTTAAAATTTTTACACAACTCACGGACTTTATGTCCGCCATCTTGGGTTGCCTCGGCTGAAGCGCATGCACAGGTTTGCATTACATCATTAACACCGGGACCCGAACCCCACCAGCCTCACATTGCCTCTGTCTCCCCTGCACACTGCGCTCAGATGGAAACCTTTGACCAGACAAGCCCAGAGCGCTGCTGCCGTATCATGGTCAATGACACATTTAACTGATAGCACTAGTTTAGGGGAAAAATGTACCCAAAAATGTCTGGATATTTGTTTTTGTACGGTAAATTGTTTAACAAACTGATGTAGTCAATGCGTCCTATCAAAACATTTGAATTGATATGATGATATTTATCAGAAAACCCTGAACTGAGTCCTAACACAGTGCTGTGTTCTTCCAGACTCGGAACGAGAGGACAGCCATGCCTGTGTCCTCGCGAGAGACTCAGCCGTAAGTGCCACCCATGTCTAACCCCCATGTCTAACCCTGTCTGTTCTGTCCAGGCCTATGTCCGTGAATGCATTTACATGGGCTACTACATGTGTGAGTTCCATTTGAATCTATTGTTCAATTGGGTTCCAACTACTCACACCACACATCTGGTCCTTGTCCCATGTCACTGGATGTTATCACATAGATTCAATCAGACTAGGAGCAGACAATCAGAGGTAATTAGGTGCATGGGTAAGAAATTACTGAGTATCTTACACATGTGTGTACGTGTGCTCACTGGTGATCAGCAACTTCTGTTTGGGACAAAGTTGAATTGAATGAATCTAGCTCATGTAAACATAGTATGTTTATGTGTATAATAGGCAGGGACAGTGCTTCCTGTGTGACTTTTTGTGTGTATGTCCACAGGTGAGGGATCGGAGCGCACCCCCACCCCACATCAACCCCCCGGAGGAGCAGGACAGCCCGGAGAGAGCGGTGCGCACACACTCTCAATACACTGCTACTCGTGTTTGTGTAGTCAACACAACGCGGTAGCAACATGGTTTAGTATGCAAGCTTTATGTTTAACATGCTTTTAATTCTAAGGAGCAGTCTCCTCCTCTGTTTTATTTGAGGATTGGCACCAGGTCGACTTAAGACCTGATTGAGGCCGTTATCTTGAGGCAATTATACAATCATTAATTTTCTAGATAGGTTCACTAGGTCCAAGTAAAAAGTTCAACAAAGAACCTAAAAAAGGTACAATTATATTGACCATTCAGGCAGTGAGTAGGGCGACTCGACAGATGCAGCGAATGCAAAAACAAGTGCTGCTAATATGATCACTGATGAGGAAGGACTGGTTAATAAAAATATACATCTATGGCGCTGGTGCACAAACCTGTGGCACTGACATCTGTAGTCTTTAAAGGAACACTGTATAGCACTACAGAAGTCTTCGGGACAATATGTCATCTTTAACAGTGGTCCCCAACTCCCAGTTATCAACACCGTGGATTGTTTTGCGGAGAATTTTGTGTATTTTGCCTATTTGATGCTTGTCCCCTGAAAAAGTTTAGTTGAAACCTGTGGACATAGTAGTTGGACTAATGCTCGGAGCAGGTCAGAACATCCTGAGACCCATGTTGCATGCTCTGCCTTGTACTCATTACTGTCTGTGTAAAGAAAGGGACTGTCTGTGTGAGGAAAAAAGATTGTTGTTTTGGTAGGTCTTTTACATACTGTAGTAGTAATTTTAAGGATGCAAGTGTGCATAGAGTGCCTTTGTATATAGCAGTAATTTTAAGAAATGTTTTGTAGAATTTGTATTTCTTTTTATGCATGCCGTGTCCATCCATCCATCTTCTTCCAGTCAGAGGTGGTGGGAGCTGTGGTGGGCTCCAACCCACAACCTTCAGGCTCAAAGGCTAATGCTCAACTGACAGAGCTACTGTATTACGGGTTTACCTCCTTTAAAAAGAACATTCAGAGAGACCTATCCTAACCCCTACAATATATTTCTTTAGATTTGTCCATAATGCTTTCTCTCCAGATTCTTGGGTCGACCCCAGGGAAGCCCTCGATCCTTGTGATGAGAATCTTAGTGTGTCTGTGTGTGTGAATGTGTGTGTTGTACAGACAGGCTGACTGTGTTGTGTACAGGTGCAGAAGGAGAAGCTCCATGCTGAACTGAAGCGAGTGCTGAGTCAAAAGAGGAGTGTGCGCGACATGGAGCCAGAAGCAGCCGAGCAGCCCACAGTCAGTGCACTCAGCCCTGTCCCACTCTCAGTCTATATGACTCAATCATTCAACATTTGGATCAAGCAAAATCAATTGAATTAGATCACTGGTTTTGTTGCCATGTACTGTAACTCCATGATGCAGTCAGCTGATATGGAGATATGGAGTTTTGAAAGGTATCTCAAAAAGTACATTTAATTTTGAAATAAATGTTGTCGAAAGTAATTAAAACATCACATACAAAAATGATGTGGCATTGATAAAATGGAAAAACATTATAATTATAACTAGACTAAAACCGAAACATTTTTGATATAGTACCTGTTTTCAACTTCAACACATAGTTAATACTCCTAAAAACTGTGTGTGTGTGTGTGTTGCAGACGGCAGAGGGCATGCCTGAGGATGTGCAGATTGTCATGGAGACGGAGGCAGAGGCGGGAGCCAGCGGTTACAGTGTGACCGGAGGAGGACACCATGGGATTTTTGTGAGGGATGTTCTTAAAGACTCTCCGGCTGCAAAACACCTGAGTCTGCAGCAAGGTACTGTTACAAACTACTCGCACAAAAAATCACACTATGTGCTTTTGGGCATGATCCTGAGTACATTTATATTTCATGTTTTAGAAATATGTTAAATAATTTTATTACTCGCAAATATTAGTTGAAAATGGGAAATTACATTTTCCTATAATCGATAACATAAACATTGTGTGATGTAATGGAAGGCAAAAGGACATCTATAATATGTTTAAAAAATACAGATGATTCAATGCATTGTTTGTGAAAATATTCTTTGTCTATTGCCAAACCTGAGTTTTGTAGAGTTTGGAGGAATTCCATTGATATTCAAGGGTGCCACCAAACATTAATAATTATCATTCACCGCACACATCAATAGCATCAATAGCATCACCCGCATCGCCTACTTGCTCTCCCCTCTCTCCGCCATACTCCTGACTCCGCCCCTCTCTCTCCCCTCACACTACCGCCATACTCCTGACTCCGCCCCTCTCTCTCTCCTCACACTACCGCCATACTCCTGACTCCGCCCCTCTCTCTCCTCACACTACCGCCATACTCCTGACTCCGCCCCTCTCTCTCCCCTCACACTACCGCCATACTCCTGACTCCGCCCCTCTCTCTCCCCTCACACTACCGCCATACTCCTGACTCCGCCCCTCTCTCTCTCCCTCACACTCACCGCCATACTCCTGACTCCGCCCCTCTCTCTCCCTCACACTACCGCCATACTCCTGACTCCGCCCCTCTCTCTCCCCTCACACTACCGCCATACTCCTGACTCCGCCCCTCTCTCTCCCCTCACACTACCGCCATACTCCTGACTCCGCCCCTCTCTCTCCCCTCACACTACCGCCATACTCCTGACTCCGCCCCTCTCTCTCCCCTCACACTACCGCCATACTCCTGACTCCGCCCCTCTCTCTCTCCTCCCACACTACCGCCATACTCCTGACTCCGCCCCTCTCTCTCTCCTCACACTACCGCCATACTCCTGACTCCGCCCCTCTCTCTCTCCTCACACTACCGCCATACTCCTGACTCCGCCCCTCTCTCTCTCCTCACACTACCGCCATACTCCTGACTCCGCCCCTCTCTCTCTCCTCACACTACCGCCATACTCCTGACTCCGCCCCTCTCTCTCTCCTCACACCACCGCCATACTCCTGACTCCGCCCCTCTCTCTCTCCTCACACTACCGCCATACTCCTGACTCCGCCCCTCTCTCTCTCCTCACACTACCGCCATACTCCTGACTCCGCCCCTCTCTCTCTCCCCTCACACACCGCCATACTCCTGACTCCGCCCCTCTCTCTCCCTCACCTCCATACTCACCCGCCCTCCTACCATACTCCTGACTCCGCCCCTCTCTCTCCCCTCACACCACCGCCATACTCCTGACTCCGCCCCTCTCCCTCCCCTCACACCACCGCCATACTCCTGACTCCGCCCCTCTCCCTCCCCTCACACCGCCATACTCCTGACTCCGCCCCTCTCCCTCCCCTCACACTACCGCCATACTCCTGACTCCGCCCCTCTCCCTCCCCTCACTCCACCGCCATACTCCTGACTCCGCCCCTCTCTCTCCCCTCACACTACCGCCATACTCCTGACTCCGCCCCTCTCTCTCCCCTCACACTACCGCCATACTCCTGACTCCGCCCCTCTCTCTCCCACACTCCCCACACTGCCCCACACTACCGCCATACTCCTGACTCCGCCCCTCTCTCTCCCCTCACACTACCGCCATACTCCTGACTCCGCCCCTCTCTCTCCCCTCACACCACCGCCATACTCCTGACTCCGCCCCTCTCTCTCCCTCCCTCACACCACCGCCATACTCCTGACTCCGCCCCTCTCTCTCCCCTCACGCCACCGCCATACTCCTGACTCCGCCCCTCTCCCTCCCCTCACACTACCGCCATACTCCTGACTCCGCCCCTCTCCCTCCCCTCACTCCACCGCCATACTCCTGACTCCGCCCCTCTCCCTCCCCTCACACTACCGCCATACTCCTGACTCCGCCCCTCTCCCTCCCCTCACTCCACCGCCATACTCCTGACTCCGCCCCTCTCTCTCCCCTCACACTACCGCCATACTCCTGACTCCGCCCCTCTCTCTACCCTCACACTACCGCCATACTCCTGACTCCGCCCCTCTCTCTCCCCTCACACTACCGCCATACTCCTGACTCCGCCCTCTCTCTCCCCTCACTCCACCGCCATACTCCTGACTCCGCCCCTCTCTCTCCCCTCACACTACCGCCATAATCCTGACTCCGCCCCTCTCTCTCCCCTCACACTACCGCCATACTCCTGACTCCGCCCCTCTCCCTCCCCTCACTCCACCGCCATACTCCTGACTCCGCCCCTCTCTCTCCCCTCACACTACTGCCATACTCCTGACTCCGCCCCTCTCTCTCCCCTCACACTACCGCCATACTCCTGACTCCGCCCCTCTCTCTCCCCTCACACTACCGCCATACTCCTGACTCCGCCCCTCTCCTCCCCTCACACCAACCGCCATACTCCTGACTCCGCCCCTCTCTCTCCCCTCACTCCACCGCCATACTCCTGACTCCGCCCCTCTCTCTCTCCTCACACTACCGCCATACTCCTGACTCCGCCCCTCTCTCTCCCCTCACACTACCGCCATACTCCTGACTCCGCCCCTCTCTCTCCCCTCACTCCACCGCCATACTCCTGACTCCGCCCCTCTCTCCCCTCACTCCACCGCCATACTCCTGACTCCGCCCCTCTCTCTCCCCTCACTCCACCGCCATACTCCTGACTCCGCCCCTCTCTCTCCCCTCACGCCACCGCCATACTCCTGACTCCGCCCCTCTCTCTCTCCTCACACTACCGCCATACTCCTGACTCCGCCCCTCTCTCGCCCCTCACACTACCGCCATACTCCTGACTCCGCCCCTCTCTCCTCACACTACCGCCATACTCCTGACTCCGCCCCTCTCTCTCTCCTCACACTACCGCCATACTCCTGACTCCGCCCCTTTCTCTCCCCTCACTCCACCGCCATACTCCTGACTCCGCCCCTCTCTCTCCTCTCACACTACCGCCATACTCCTGACTCCGCCCCTCTCTCTCCCCTCACACTACCGCCATACTCCTGACTCCGCCCCTCTCTCTCCCCTCACACTACTGCCATACTCCTGACTCCGCCCCTCTCTCTCCCCTCACTCCCACCGCCATACTCCTGACTCCGCCCCTCTCCCTCCCCTCACTCCACCGCCATACTCCTGACTCCGCCCCTCTCTCTCCCCTCTCTCCACCGCCATACTCCTGACTCCGCCCCTCTCTCCCCTCACTCCACCGCCATACTCCTGACTCCGCCCCTCTCTCTCCCCTCACTCCACCGCCATACTCCTGACTCCGCCCCTCTCTCTCCCCTCACTCCACCGCCATACTCCTGACTCCCTCTCTCTCCACTCACACTACCGCCATACTCCTGACTCCGCCCCTCTCTCCCCTCACTCCACCGCCATACTCCTGACTCCGCCCCTCTCTCTCCCCTCACTCCACCGCCATACTCCTGACTCCGCCCCTCTCTCTCCCCTCACTCCACCGCCATACTCCTGACTCCCTCTCTCTCCCCTCACACTACCGCCATACTCCTGACTCCGCCCCTCTCTCTCCCCTCACTCCACCGCCATACTCCTGACTCCGCCCCTCTCTCTCCCCTCACACTACCGCCATACTCCTGACTCCGCCCCTCTCTCTCCCCTCACACTACCGCCATACTCCTGACTCCGCCCCTCTCTCTCCCCTCACACTACCGCCATACTCCTGACTCCGCCCCTCTCTCTCCCCCCTCACTCCACCGCCATACTCCTGACTCCGCCCCTCTCCCTCCCCTCACACTACCGCCATACTCCTGACTCCGCCCCTCTCTCTCCCCTCACTCCACCACCATACTCACACACAGCCTCGTCACCTCCTGCCACGACTATTGGAACTCCCTCCTGTTCCCTCAAAAAACCCTCCATAAACTCCAACTGGTCCAAAACACAGCCGCCCGTCTCATCACACACACCCCCTCCATCAACCACATGACCCCTGTCCTCACCCCCTCCATCAACCACATGACCCCTGTCCTCACCCCCTCCATCAACCACATGACTCCTGTCCTCACCCCCTCCATCAATCACATGACCCCTGTCCCCACCCCCTCCATCAATCACATGACCCCTGTCCTCACCCCCTCCATCAACCACATGACCCCTGTCCTCACCCCCTCCATCAACCACATGACTCCTGTCCTCACCCCCTCCATCAACCACATGAACCCTGTCCTCACCCCCTCCATCAACCACATGACCCCTGTCCTCACCCCCTCCATCAACCACATGACCCCTGTCCTCACCCCCTCCATCAACCACATGACCCCTGTCCTCACCCCCTCCATCAACCACATGACCCCTGTCCTCACCCCCTCCATCAACCACATGACCCCTGTCCTCACCCCCTCCATCAATCACATGACCCCTGTCCTCACCCCCTCCATCAACCACATGACCCCTGTCCTCACCCCCTCCATCAACCACATGACTCCTGTCCTCACCCCCTCCATCAACCACATGAACCCTGTCCTCACCCCCTCCATCAACCACATGACCCCTGTCCTCACCCCCTCCATCAACCACATGACCCCTGTCCTCACCCCCTCCATCAACCACATGACCCCTGTCCTCACCCCCTCCATCAACCACATGACCCCTGTCCTCACCCCCTCCATCAACCACATGACCCCTGTCCTCACCCCCTCCATCAACCACATGACCCCTGTCCTCACCCCCTCCATCAACCACATGACCCCTGTCCTCACCCCCTCCATCAACCACATGACCCCTGTCCTCACCCCCTCCATCAACCACATGACCCCTGTCCTCACCCCCTCCATCACCACATGACCCCTGGTCCTCACCCCCTCCATCAACCACATGACCCCTGTCCTCACCCCCTCCATCAACCACATGACCCCTGTCCTCACCCCCTCCATCACCACATGACCCCTGTCCTCACCCCCTCCATCAACCACATGACCCCTGTCCTCACCCCCTCCATCACCACATGACCCCTGTCCTCACCCCCTCCATCACCACATGACCCCTGTCCTCACCCCCTCCATCACCACATGACCCCTGTCCTCACCCCCTCCATCAACCACATGCAACATACAATGCCATCCCCAACCTCGCTCCTCCAAACCTGACTGACCTCCTCCAGATCTCCACCCTGCCCGCTCCCTCCGCTCCTCCTCCTCTCTCCTCCTGGTCCCTCCTGGTCCCGCCTCGTCACCATGGGGAGTAGAACCTTCTGCCGTTCTGCTCCCCAGCTCTGGAACACTCCCCCCTGACCTCCGTAACACCGACCACCTTAAAA